CTTACCTATAACAGAATTTTTCGAAGAACCTAAATAGAAAAAAAAAAAGATTTTTCATTTATAATAGGAACTTACTAACGATAGAAGTTTTCGAAGAACCTAAATAGAAAAACAAAAGATTTTTCATGTATAATAGCAACTTACCAACGATAGAAGTTTTCGAAGAACCTGAACGGAAGAAAAACGAATTATTTATTTCAAATTGTAACTTACCAACAACAATACAATAGTTCGAAGTATCTAAACAGAAAATAAACGAATATATTGATTTCTAATCGTAGCTTACCTATAACAGAATTTTTCGAATAATCTAAATAGAAAACAAAAATAGATTTTTTTATCTATATTGGTAACCTACCAACGATAGAAGTTTTTGAAGAACCTAAACAGAAAATAAATGAATTAGTTATTGGTAATGCTAACTTACCATTGTTAAAATTTGTCCAACAACCTAAATAGATAATAAACAAATTGGTTACTTTTAATTGGAACTTACCAAGAATAGAACTTTTTAGAGAACCTAAACAAAAGATAAATCAGATATTTATTTCAAATTGTAAGTTACCAATAATAGAATGAGTCCAAGCATCTAAACAGAAAATGAGCGAAACATTACCTTGTAATCCTAACTTATCTATAAAAGTATTTTTCGAAGAACCTAAATAGAAAACAAACGAATTAGGTATTGATAATGGTAACTTATCATTATTAAAATTTATCCAGTAATCTAAATAGATAATATACAAATTCGTTATTTTTAATGGTAACTTGTCAATAATAGAACTTTTCGGAGAACCTGAGCAGAAGATAAATCAGTTATTTATTTCGAATTGTAAGCTACCAATAATATAATTCTTCGACGAACCTAAAGAGAAAATAAGCGAATTATCCATTTGTAATGGTGACTTATCAATTTTGGAATACTTCGAGAAACATAAACAGAAAATAAGCGAAATATTGAAGTGTAATTGTGAATTATAAAGGGCATGTGCTTTCTGGAAACCTAAATAGAAATAAGCAGAAGAATAATTCTAGCGGTAACACAGCAATAACCTACTTCTTGCATGATCGAAAATGTGAAAGAATCGAATTTTTGTTTTTAAACTACTATTTTCAAAAGGTTATATAGTAGTTGCACTAAGTCTTCAAACCGAGTAACGAATTTATCCATGTAAAAAAAACAGCTTAAAATTAGATAAAAAATTGATTATTTTCTGATTAAGATTCTGATTTTCATGCATCTGTTTTCTACATTTGTAATTTATTTCAAAAGAATATTTATGAATAATATTATGGTTCCGATTATTGGAGGTGTGTGGAAGATAAAATTCTTTTTTCAGAAGCAATTAGTGTTGAAAATTTGTGTAGATGTAAAGAATCTGTCAGCTGAGTTTTTAGTGGAATGTTCGAGGAAGTAAATACCATCTTGATTGACTGTTGTAGGTTTTTGGCAACATGTAATGAGTATGTGACAGAATATTCTACTTAAGTATTCTCGCTTCAATTTATTTCAAATAAAACTAATTCATAAATGTGCGAGAAAAACAAAAAAAAGTTATGAATATAAAGGATAATAGAAGATGTTTCACGATAGCAGCTTCTAGTGCAGTTTCTGTAAATATGATGAGAATATAATGTATGCAAAAGTTCATTAGGTAATGCAGAAAAGAATGAAAAAAAAAACTTTTTAGTTTTTATTTGTTTTTCTTCGAGCGTTTTAAACGGGATGATATAGGCTCTTCAGGATTAGGTCGGCGTTTTTTTTGATGAAGCAATATGAATTGGTGGTTTCGTTGGTGGCAGTTCTTTTTGGCTTTTTATCATTGCATGTTCCATTTTGACTGAATATAACCTGTTTTCGTCTGAAAGGACTGAAATTGATGTTTCAACATGTCTTTGTTTTAATGAAGAAGAATGTATCAGTGATTGAGAATCAGTTGTTGCAGTAGATGATGAGAATGATTGTGATGTTTTTTTTGAATTATTGCTTGTATGATCTACATTAGCATCAATCGTTGTTGTCATCGTCGGATTTTCAACATCATTGCCGACTGCATATTTGGACAATTGTTTTTTTACTTCAATTAATGGATCTAATTTGTATGTTCTTTCAATAAAATCTTCTGGTGGTTCTTCATCAGATAAATAATCAGGTTCATTTTCTCCGCGGTGTTGTAAATTGTTGATCGAAGGTGCAGGTGTGTTATTATTGGTAGATGTATGGTTTACCAGTTGAGTTTTTTGTTTACGTTCCTTTTTATCAATTTCGAAGTTCCATTGTTTTAACGTAAATCGTAATTGTTTTGTTAATGTTGCTGGATCTTGTAACAATATTCCATATAATAAATGTATAATTCGATTGTGAGTACCAAATTGCAATTCAAATATAACATATAACGAGATAATAATACATAAAGCTTGATCGATTGATGCTGTTTCAGTAATAACATTATAATCCAAATATATCAAGAACTTATCTGTTGTCACTTGTATTGTTGGACGAGGAGATAATGGTTCCTTAATTATACAGAAAAAAAATATGCTGAATTTTTTTATTTAAATAAGCTTGATATGCTTCATTTATCTAGCTTTTGTTCAGCAGCTTATATTTTTTTGAGAAATTTAAGTTTACCTTGTAAGTCAAGACATATTGCCACGAATCAGTAAAGTATTTGGACAAAACTTTAATCAAACGTACGGTTGGAAGATCTAAACAAATATCAAAGGGTACGAAACAGATAAACAAACCTTGAGTACCTTCATCAGTTACTTACCAATATTTCTGATAGCTCAGGTTTTGTTGATGGTAAGTAATTTTGGTAGCATAGATCTGAAATTCACTTCAACATCAACATTGCATAAATACTGAATTTCATCGAAGATCTTTAAAAAAAAAAACTTGTTGCACATAAATGAATCGTTATAGATATTGAATAGGAATGACATGCTAATTAACCCTTTACTCTTGAAGCAGTTCCAGAAGATCCACTGTTAAAACTACCACATAAATAGAGTATTGGCCTTACCATTATGCTAATGGTTTGGGCAGATCGATCAGGTGCAATATATTTTGCGCAGAATAATTTTGTAATTATAGGGATCGTTGAGCTAGAGAGGGAATGAAACGACTTAAGAAGCGCTACTTCTTTTCTTTTTTATGAGTGTTAGCTAGACAAGAATGCCATCTATTTCTTTTTGTTAGACTACAATCAAAAAAGAAATACCACGTATATAAAAAGCTATTTTTAAATACATATCTATTTTTGACACAGCTCTTTTAAAAATACACATTTTTCTTTAAGTAATTATATCATCAATGAAGAAATTAAATTGATGATAAAAATGTTTCTCGGCTACTATTATAATAAAATTTAGAAATAAAATGTTCATAATATGCATCATCTCGCACTTCCTGCTCAATAATTGTTCCAGAACTCATTTTTGTCATACCGTGTTTTATCTGGCAACCGATTAGAAAATTTTCGAAACACGTTCCATTCATTAGTAGATGTTCTAGTTGATATAGATCATACAACGCCCTCGAAATCTGTATTGTCTATGAATGAGAAACACTTTGTTTTTAAAATTTCGGTTGTTTTTAATTTTTGAGCATTATCGATTTTGTAAGTCTCATATCTCAGCGACAGAGCAGTGAAACAAAATATTTCTTTTACCAATCGATAGCTTATGGAGTTTCCTACCTAGCATGTTCTGGAAGCTTTTAAATCTCACGTTTCTTTCATTTTCCGAGAGCGTTCTACAAGCGAATCAAAAGTAACCTACCATAGCGTTAAGAGTTAAAATCTGAATAAATGATAAGAATGTACTCACCAACAAAACATTACTATAACCAGGATATTCTTGAAGAACTTCTTTAGTCGTGTGATTTTGAACGTACAATCTTCTGTCGACCAATGTTTTCTTCCACGAGTTTCTGACACTATCCAAATTGAAGCTTTCTTTTGCTAATTCGTTCTTCATAAATTGAATATGTTCATCGATTTCTTGAGGATCATCATTAACATCTACTTTATTCCAAAACTCAACATGAGCCTTGGAGAAAAGAAACAAAAGAATCAATTATACTGTACGATTGACTTTATATTCTTTTTTTTTTATTAATACATACTTCACGACGAGCAGCGATTACATTATCAGTTTGTTTGACCGGACGACCACCTCGATTACCAAATTTCAGTTTCATCTTCAGAACTTCTTCGGATATTTGTTGCAGTGGACGACGTTCACGTTTAAATTTATTCTTAAGGCTCTCAATCCAATCGTTCTACAAGGAAATACATTATTAAAACGACAAGATATGAAGGAAAAAGTTCCTAGACTATATTTTTAGAATTTAATTCTATGCCTGATTGTAAAAATTTATAACAAATCTGACAGCTTCCACAGAATCTAGAAGTTTTTCTTCCATTAATTGAAACTATGTTCCAAGGACAGCGCGCCAATCAAATATGTCAGCCATATGAGGCTGTAGAAATTGATAGGCTCTGATTTAATGTTTGGTCGCAGCTCACAAAGAGAAGTTAATAAAGTTATGTGCTCCATCAGTGAATCTCTCAACGAAATAACTCTCATTTGCAGTCAGCTTAAAATGAGTTTACTTACCAATGCTTCATTATCATTCTTAATATTTAATTTTTCTAGTATTGCTATACCCATTGATCTGTACTCATGTGTATCAGGATAGCTAAAATAAAATAAATATATTACGGCTTTCTTAGATAAAATATCGTGAATACTCACAACAGAGAATATTTTGTTGTAACATCCATGAAAATAGCATCAAGTAATAATCGACGAGCGTTTGTATGACCACGAAAACCATTTATATCGCCTTTGTCAATAATTTGTTGAATTTTTGGTGGTAAATCAAATATATGATATCTAATTGGAAAATGTGGTTGTTCTTCATCTTCATAATTTTCTTTGTCATTGTCTTGTTGTAATGAAATCATTGTTTCTTTATTCACAACTTCAGAATCAGTTGAAGAATCAAATGTAGAAGAATTATTTCGATCATTATTGGAAAATGTAATCGTTGACATTGACGTGAATTGATTTGCATCAGGTTGTTCAATCACTTGTTGAGAACTAATAACAGGTAGATTGTCAGTATATTTCTTCGATGTTATTTGATCAGAAGTATCCTGAAACTTGTTATGAAAAAGAGCACGATGTTCTGCCAGAAAACGTATACGTTCTTTAATTGGTTTTATTATTTCGTACATTATTGATTCTGGTAAATTGAAAAGTGTTTCACCATCTATATCTTCTCCTAAAAAGAAAAGAGAAAAATGTATTCAATTAAAAATTTCGATAATATAAAAGCATTGCTATCCTTGCATTAGTACAATTCTAGGATGAATGAAATACTTATCTTTGATAAATAACTTTCTAAAAAAAAAGGACTTAATTTACTTTATTTAAATTTTTTTTTTCTATAGTAAGACGTGAAAAAATGTTAACATAAGATTTTTTATCTAACTCATAAATATCAAGGCCCTGTGGTAGTATATGAATAAGTTCATTTGGTTGCTTTATCGACAATAAGTGTGTGTGTTCCAGCTCATATGACCATAATGATTCATTGAAAGCAATTGTTTGTAGTTGTTCAACGATCAACAACCAAGCATTATCAATTTTTAAGATAAAAATCAAATGAAGAAACGAAGGTACTTCCTCTTCGTGTACCAAATTATCCACAAACACTGATCCTTTAATAAGCATAACATTATTGAATTTTAATCTTTGATATTCTATGATTGTGGTCCTATCATCAAAATATCTAATATTTTCGTGTAATAATTTACGAACATCAGCTGGTAATGCATATAAATTTCTTTCTGTTGACGAATAACCTTCATTAATCATTTTGTAATAATTCGATAATGATAACAATAGGCATTGTCGAAGTTGATGACGTTTTGATAGTGTATACAAGATATTTTTGAAGTTGTTGGACTTAACAGCAAGTTGTTTGAAGATTTGATGTTTGGATTCAAAACGCATACACCAATGTCGAATAGGTGGACCGTACATTTCGACTTGTTTTGCATAATGTGTGATCAAATGTACTTTAGATATTACAAGATTAGGAAGTAAATGAACCATTAAACTTTGAAAACGAACAGTTAAAGAATGTAAATATGGCAACCAAGATTTTCGAAAAGGAGAAGCATATAAATGACTAATAATTTCACGTAAACAGATGTAAATTTCTTTGGTATCTAATTGATCAATTATGTCGTGAAATATAAGGGGAAATAACTTGAATAGGCACATCTTCTGAGATGCTGTACCTACAATCTTTCCTTTGTTTAAATGTTTCTTTCGTAAAATCGGTGGTTTGTTTGACTTATCATTAAGACCATACTCAAATGACATCAATCTATCTTCAACATCCCCATAAGAAAGAATACGTTTGGTTGATGCTTCCTTTATCATCGCTAATAATATTTGACTACAAAGGCCTAAACAAAGAAAAAACCTTTTCTCAAGAAATAATCTCTTTTCTCTATACCCTCATTGAAATCGTGCATAAGATCATTCGGCAGTGATGTTGTAGCATGGAAACCGATCAATTTTGAAAATGGACTTACATCAACAACACCTTGTAAAATAATACTATTATTTAAATTTATAACTTGTTGAACCAGACTATCATGCTGATCTCTTGTTCGGTGAGGGTAAGAAATTTGACTTGAAGGAATAAGTCTCTGATCATAGTTTATATGACAATGTCTACAAAACTGACCACTATTAAAATTTTTTTGAAATCCACCAATATCATTGGAACCTAAATGATCTCCAGCCACAATAGTAAATGCAAAATTCAGTTGAGTATCAAGAGCTGGAATATAGAGCCCAGTCGTCTGAAGTGCATTCAGATCTTCAACGATCGGCTCAAAGAACTTTATTCTATTTGACTTAATTGACAAATAGGTGGAGTGGCACATAGCTAAAAGTCCAATTGATTTTAACTTCGATCTAAAAATATCAGGTAAATCTTCCAGTTGAAAATATAACATAGTGATTTTTTGAGTGTCCTTTTTGGCTCCTATAGGATTCGTCAAGCCAATCTCATCAATATATAGGTGAAATAATAATGAATCAGGTTTATTCTTTAAAATTGGATGTTGTTTTGCTTGTGATGCATGACGATAATCATACATAAGATCAGTATCAAAAGCATTGCGATTGATAGTTTGATTAAAATTCTTGATTAAAATATCCAACACATAAGAATTACTCAGCATTTGTTGAATACTGGATTGCATTGGTATATAATATGCTACTTGGTTCGGATTTTCCAATTTTATTTCTTTAGGTGAATCATAGGAAAAATATTTTTTGCATAATCTCAAGAATCTATGTTCATTTTTAGTAATATTGGTCATTCTTTCTACAACACTTGAAACTATGTTGTTTACATCAGTTAATAATATAAAATCCGTTGTTGGGTGAGAACAAGCCGTTTTTTGATCCTTGATCGATGAGCTTTTAACTTGACTTTTTAATAACTCATAAATGAATTCAATCAACGATCTTACTCCGGACGTGACTGTTTGAACGATATTTTGTGGTAGAGAATGACCTTCTCTCAGATCAAGAAGAAACTGTAAATAAAACTTTTCGAAAGAATCTAAATCTTTCTTATTTCCTGATAATGAAGGTATTTTCTCTTTAAGCGTTGGCCAACATATCACATCTTCAATAGATGTTTCTTCTACTATATTATCTTGTTCATCTTCCATATCATTCATGTCAATATCAAAATCCAACTGATTTTCACAGTATGTTGAAGCTAATGTTTCACCATTATCAGCATTCTTGTCAAGTTGCATTTCTTCTTTACATGAGCTATCATTAAGAAGATCTACATGTTCTCTATAAATATGACTTTTATAAGCTGCAAATGTGGAGTAACTTGTTCCACATAACGGTCCTAACTCACATCGAATTCTAAAGTTATGTTCTCCATTATGAGCATATTGTACATGCTGAAATAATTTTCGGAATGTACGATAAGATTTGCTGTCAATGCACAACTGACACAAATAACAATTTTTTGATGACATAAAAATATTACTCACTGCAAAAAACATCGAGAACATGTTGGTTTCTATTAAAAGAAGACAACCATTGGATTACTTGTGAACAATTCCAGTGTCTTGGATCCATTTATATAGAATTTATTGATATCAATTAAAGTTTAATATGATGAACAAGTATACTTAAGACAAATCCTTCAATAACTAAATCAGTACCGAAAAAAAAAGATTTTTGTAACATAAAAAGAAAGTAATAAAAGGCTTACATAAAACAATTGTTGATATAAGTCCAG